TGGATGGAACTGGAGGGTGTTATGCTGAGCGAAATAAGTCAGAGAAAGACATGTATCATATGACGTCACTGATATGAGGAATTCTTAATGTCTGAAAATGTTTTTATTTTGCTTTCATTCTTAGAGGATAGTTTGCCTGGATATAGAATGCTAGATTGGTGTTATTTTCTTTTGACACATGAAGGTATTTTCTTCTGGCTTTATTGTTTTTGTTGAGAAGTCAGCTGTTGATCTAATAATTATTTTAAGATAATTAGTTTTTTCTCTTGGGATGTTTTTAAGATATTCTCTTTATCTTAGGTTTTCTGTAGTTTCACTGTAATATGTTCACAGTGTATTCTTCTCACTTACCTTGCTTGGTATTCCTAGAATTGAGTATTAGTATCTCATCAGTCCTGGAAAGTTTTTAGCCATTGAATTACTTATCCCCATCCTCTCCTAGAACTCTGATTAGACATATGTTGAGTCTTATTCTGTCCTGTCTTGCACATTTTCAATCTTTTGTTTCTTTAAATTGCATTATGTACTTAAAAAAAAAATCCACCATCCAGTTCAATACTTGTTTTTCCAGCTCTGTCTTACCTGTTATTAAGGCTTTCCATTTAGAACATTATGTTTTCCATTTCTAGAAGTGCTGTCTAGTTCATTTTCAAATCTGGCCAATTTTGATTCTCCTCTTCTTTAGTTACATTTGATATCCTATTTTTGTTCTTTCATCTTATGATCATATGTATTTTATATTCTGTAGCTGATCATCATATGACATGAAGTTTTAATAGGTTTTATTCTTTTTTTGTTTCTATGAATTCTTTCTCATGGCTTGTTTTCTTTCATGTTCAGTGATTTCTGATTTTAAATTTGTGTTTCTTAGAGCTTGATCTGTTGGAATTCTCAGAGGCCCAAGTTTAAAGTGTATTTTTTTCACAGGGATTTAGATTTGCTTCTGCTAAACATTTATATTTGCCTTGGTATCATACAAACCCAGGATCACTTTTTTCTACATTTTTGGCTCAGGATCGGAGGGTTGGGGGAGTACAGAGAGTGTGTAATTTTGGCCCCAAGTCCATGTGAGGGCAGAACTGTGGTTAGAAATTTTTAGGGGGATTGTTATTTTTGCTGCTCTACTCCACTTAGAACTAAGATCGAGATAGACATTTTTAATTTCTCCCTCTCTGCAACACATTTAATTTTTTTATTTAATTAGTTTATTTTTTAGTTTTTATTGTTACTATTTTTTACTGGGGATGTTGTTCTTTGGGAGTTTTAGATTTTTTTTTTTTTGAAGTAATCTCTACGCCTATCATAGGGCTAGAACTCATGACCCTAAAATCAAGAGTTGCATGCTGTACCTACTGAGTCAGCCAGGTGCCCCTGGGAGTTTTAGATTTTTGCAGGTGTCCTTGATCTACCTTCTCAGTTTGCTTGGGTTTCTTTGTCTCCTTCCCTCCTCCCACTTTCTCCTTGAGTAGCTGGCTAAAGCCCAGGTATTAGTCTGCCAGGATTGGCAGATTCCCTGGAACAGTTTCCTGTTCCAGTACTAAAACCCTGGGTTCATCATAGTTTCTGTCCCCACTTCCCTCCCCCAGGCTCTGAGGAATTCTATTATTTTTCCTTTTCATCCCTGTATTTAAAACATTGTTTAGTTTTTCAGAATATTTAAGGTATGCTATCCCAGGAAGAGTTTTTCTAACATATAGTCCAAAATTTTTTAAGAATGGAAGGAAATCAAATTAGTAATCAGAAAGTTGGTTGAAAAACACAGTGAGAGTAAAAAGAATTATATTATTTCAAGGGATATTTTTCAGAGAATAAAAGAAAAATAAAGTATTTGTGCCCCATATTGAGAATATTTTTTTAAGGAGCTGAATAAATTTCCACAGTTTATTTTCCCTTCTGCACACTGCTATATATTTATAAATTAATATTTTTATTTCCATTTTTTTTTTAAGATTTATCCATCTGTTCTAGTGAGGGGGGTAGTGGCAGAGGGAGAGAGAATCTCAAGCAGACTCTGCATGGAGTGTGGAGTCCAGTGCAGGGCTGGATTTCATAACCCTGAGATTACCACCTGAGCTGAAACCGAGAGTCCAGTGCTCAACTGACTGCGCCACCCAGGTGTCCCTTATTTCCACTTTTATTAATGTCTATACATATTATGACAGTCGAAATTTAAGTCAAATACATTTCAGTCATGCCTTCTTTGAAAATAAATTTAGATCACATTGATCCTCAGTCTCCTTAATAATGCATTTATAAGCCATTTTATTTATTTATTTATTTTTTTTATTATTTTTTTATTTTTATTTATTTTTTTTAAAGATTTTATTTATTTATTTGAGAGAGAGAGAATGAGATAGAGAGAGCATGAGAGGGGGGAGGGTCAGAGGGAGAAGCA